TCAAGAATACGAAACTGCTTCGTGTTTGCAAAGCAACTGTTTATTCGAGTCGTAACTCTCAGACGCATCGCGAGCAACTCGCGATAGTTTTACTCTCAAAAGGACAGTGTAACGGTTTGAATTTAAAATGGGCGCGTCTTTTTACCGTGATCGGCGTGCGTCCGCCGAGCGGCGTTGGGAGCGGCGATCGCGCATGCGTCGAGCGAAAAAAAGTATGGCGTATTGTATTGTATTAAAACCATGTGCGTGGCGTTTGTTCTCGGTTTTGCCAATAAAAGTAATATAAAATCAGAAAATTCTTTTCCTGCTAACTCTTTTCTGTGCGCGAACAGACAGCTAGCTTATGTTTGGCTCGATGTACGTACAAAAACCCAAGTTCGCGTTTCTTGTGTTTGGCTCGCAAGAAATATCACGAGTTCTAAGAAGTTAAGGCCTAGAATTTTTCCTAGAACAACTACGTGTAAATAACGATCAGAAATCGGGCAAGACGACTTGTCCTCAGTCGGTGTTTACGAGGCTGTCGAACGAGTGCCTCGACGAACGTCGCTTATACTGCGCGATTTTAGTCTTGTAGGGAATACAGTGCTCGCTCGAACAACGCGTTTTCGATTATACGCGGATATTTTTTTGAAAAATTTTGACGTTCATTTCGAATCAATTTACACATTTATCATATATTCACAATTTGCTCTGTTACTATATTCTACATCCTTTGAATTCCACAACACCGATTATTCTTCAACGAAGGAGTGATTAAATCGATAATTTCATTTCTCGACTAATTTCTTTTCCTGACATTTTTTACTCGCGCGAGAGTTCTCTCAAGAATATGAAACTCCTTCGTGTTTAGAAAGCAACTATTCTACAGTAGTATGATTACGTATCCATTCGGGAGCAAGTCTCGACATGTTTACTCTCAGGCAGTTGAGCTATGCTCTCGGACAGTCAATCTCAGGCGCAGTGTCCACTCGCGAGAAATACTCTCGAGAGCAACTCGCGATAGTTTTACTTTCAAAATGACACGTAGCTTCGTGTTTAGTTCGATATAATACAGACAACGACTCTGGCTCGAGTTTCTTATGTTTTGCTCGAGTTTCTTATGTTTCACTAGCAAAAAACATCGCGAGCCTCGCGCAATGTTTTGGTATGAGAGGTTGACTAGGCTCAAGTTACATACTTCGAGGGTCACTCACACGCCTAGGATTTTTCCCAGAACTGCTTCGTGTAATAGGGAGCAGAAATCGAGCAGATCGTCACGTACGCAGTTAGTTTTTACGGGCCTACCGAACAAGTGCGTCGACGAACGACTTTTGTACCGTGCTATCATAGTCTTGTAGAAAATTCAGTGCTCCCTCGAATAAAGCGGTTTCGATTGTGCGTGGATTTCGAATCAATTTACGTACTTAGCATATTCGTTCGTGTGAATTAAGTGCCGCTGCATACAAGAAGCTAGTGCACCGAATTCAAGTACACAACGAACAGCTCAGCTTGGGAGGAAAATTAAACGAGAAGTGTGTCTCTGCGAGCTACACAGCTACAGTTTCACGGTATGTGTATGCGTGAATAATA